AGTACCTGTCTCCTCCATTTGCTTGTTAATCCCAGGGAACATCATCACTTTTTAACCATTAATTGATATAGCATATTCATAAATAACTTTTTAAAAGATCAGAATATATGAAGGAGACCTATACTGAGATTTTTTTCCGGTGACTGAAGCAACGACATTACATTTTGAGTTAAAGAAATCCTGTCCTGCCAACACCATTGTTACCCTTTATTTCGATAGATTTTTGTCCGCAAGTTGTCTATTTGAATTTGGTATCATAATCTCGTGCAAATGTGTAATTGTGTAAGGGAGAGAGTACATTTAGAAGCACTAAATTTCTGCTGATTTGTGCTCATATCAGAAGCGAGTAGCAGTTTTGTTCATAGAAAGAGAAGTAATAACAATACATACAAAAAGCTCAGACACATTTCACCCTAACTTTTCTAACAAAAAGAAACTGTTTCATTAAAAGTCATCATGACAAATAAACCAAATTATTTTATGCTGTGTTGGCTCCACAGTAGTACCTATAAATAACAATTACATGCAAATGACCTAGGAATTACTGACTTGCATCCTGAGGTTAGGAGTGGGGGGAAGCTGAGACATCAGGATACCTCGTTCCTCCCTCCCTACACAGTCCTGCACCTGGATCCAAAACATTGCAGGGAGGGTTTCATTTCTTCTTATCTTCCCATCTTTTCAGATGGAGTTTGCTTTTTTGGAGCCACCTTGGCATCATATCGTAATAAAAGAATGGGCAAAATGATCCCAGCCAGGTGCCAACCTGAGGAAATTTTGATAGGGAAATTGATAAAGAAATATCCTCCTCAGGTGGAGGGAGGAAAAGGATGCCTCATCTACTGTCCTTCCTTCCCAAAAGAATTGCTGCGGAAAGCAGTATTTGCAATGCATGGTACCTCACTGGATGTCAGTGCTGAAAAATGGTTCGTTAAAGATAGCCTTGCATTTATATGTGTGCATAGGAGCCTAAATTAAAATGGCCTACAGCAAGAATTGGTCTTCTTCATGGGAGAAAGGATGTCTTCTCACCTCAGAAACCAGCTGATGAAATGCAGGATACAGAGCCTAATATCAGACATCCAAGTTAAAAAATGTCACTGAAAAAATCCTCCCCTGCTGCTTGCTGAAACCTAGGAAATTGTGAAGGTAGCCACAAAATTATCCTAACACAATAGAAAATAATCTGTAATTCCTGTCCAAGGTACAAATGGTAATGAGGAAAGTTCAAAACTCAGGCTTATTTGACATGCCTTTCTAGACAGGGCTTCACAATGGCTTCTGCCATCAAAAGCATCTGCACATCTCCAAATGTCCAGATTGGGCATGTTCCACCCAGCTGAATGGCAGAATACTGGCCAGTTCAGAAGATGACATGTCACTATTCACCACTTCTCCAAACCCAGAGAGCATCCATCTGCCCATCCATCCTCTTGATGAAGATGGTCACACCAAATAACTCCTTGCTACAGCTGCACCACACAGACAGCTCCAGGCTGGAACCAGCAGCAGGAAGGATTAAGGTCCTGATTACACGATCTAACATGCTCCCCACTGACTCGCAAAACTAAATCTCGTATTTCAACAATTTAGACCTGCAGAGGTACCACCACATCACTCCATTTCACATGGTGCTCTGCAATAGGGTATTTCCTATTGCCTCTTTTCTGAGTTTTATTTTCTTTTAATGGGGTAGTTCCAAATTAATCTATTGTATTGTATTGTATTCTGACACTTCAAATCATCAAAGGAGCAGAGCAAGGGAAGTCTGTAGTGAGGGTGTTGCTCCAGCTTTTGCAGATGCACTGGAGAATTAGGCCAGTCAAAGGCAAGCTGCAATCAGATACATTTTTCCATGGTCTTTTTATTTTAATTTCTCCATCCAAACTTAACCTTTTGCTCAGCTCTGAATTCCACACTTCCACCACTTGGAGTATCTCAGGGGAAATTCTGTGTAAAAAATTATTTTTAATAATAAATAAATAAACACATACCACGCCCTAAAGGGAGTCCCGCTGTAAACAGAGGGACCCTGAATTAGAAGGCTCCAAAACAAATAGAAAAGCAATGGAAGAAGGAAAGAGAGAAAAAAAGAAAATTTCTGATCCAGGATTTGGAGTGTTGTATTTAGGAATTTGAAAATCAGAACATAACCAATTCGGAAGCATTTTTTAACTGAAATGTGAGCACTGAAGCAATTTCAACCAGCACTCTTCAAAACTGGAGTTTTAAAATTATCCTGCCATGTTTATCACTATTCCAGTTGCCTCTGAATACATTTTGCTAATATCTCATTTTAAATGTATTGTATTTTAAGTAGCCCTTAGTAGGGTACTTTTAGAGCTTCAGCTCACCTAAATGCTTTAATCAGCCCTGAAAATCTTGCTGTCAAGGCAGAACATAAAAGCACAGGCAATGCATTGTATTCACCCCACACGCTACGTGCTGAATGTACATTGTTAGTACTTGCATGCCTCACTCATATGAAAATATATGCTTTCAGGGTAAACTATTAGAAATGCATTTAGTTGAACAAAAAATAACTTAATAAGGGAGAACTGAATTAAAGAATGGCTAATCCCTTGTGATATATTTATGGTTGGAACTTGACTGCATCTTACATGTGTTTTGAATTCACTTTTACATCATACTAAATATTCATTTATCAGTGTTGTATTTATTTTCTCTGATTTTTTTCTTTCTTTTTGTAGGAGAACAGAAACCAATTATGTTAGAAACAGCCAAATTTTCTGTCACACACCCCATTCCTTCAGCTTTAATTGGGCAGATATAATAAAGGTACACAGTCCTGCCTATATCACACAAAGTTCAATTTCCATATTTAAGAGGACCCTGTCAACATGGTTGTTTTTCACTTGTGGTATGGCTTTTGTTGAATTTTGTTAAACCCAATACAAGTGATCCACGGCACGCTCCCATGAGGTGCAGCACATGATGCCTGTGCAGTCAGCACCGTAAGAGGTGACAAACACCTGCAGCCTTAATAGCAGACCTGCTCCTCCAGACGAAGGCAGCAGCTCATCCTCACCATGACTCAGAAGCAGCAAAGAGAGCAGACGACAAACAGGATCCAAAGGTACCGATGGCTTCTGGAGACCCTGTTCTGCCCTCCAGGAACCCTGCTGCCACCAGTACGAAATGCGGGCTGTTGAGGGATGACGGTCCACGTCATTGGCTAGTTTGGCTCTTGTTATTACTGGTCCTGAGCTCAGGAACATTTAGTCTTCTTCCATGGTCTCATCCCTCCTACCAGACCAAGAAACTTTTCCCCATGGGCTGTTCCCTGGGGAGAAGAGAATTCCTTTTCCTTGAGGAGACCAGCTATTCCTCTGTAGGTTTTGCAGGCTGCTGCCCCTATTGCCAGAGCACCACAAGGAGATGTACCCAAGAAGGTATTTTAAAAAGACAGAGA